CCTGTGCAACTCAGCTATATCACGTGGTTTACAGATATAACAAATGTAGTCTCAGTAATTATTACACTCTTGTTCATCCTAAAAATGCTTTAGAAAATTGTATCACAACTGTATCTCAAGTTTGTCATAGTATAAACCATTGAAAACAATAACGGTAAATATATTTAATACAGTCTAGCGATCTTTTTTCAGGGGAGCAAAGGAATTGAAGGAGGAGGGGTGGGGGGGGGGGGGCTCTGAAATTTTTTCGACTATCAAGGAGGGGGCTCCTAAAAAATTGAACCGCTAGCGAGGGGGGCTGCTAAAATTTCAAGCTTTGAGTTTCAATATCTTCATTCCCCCCCCCTTGTCATATTAAATGAACTTTCCCTAAAAGAGGTTGACTGTAACACCACTGAATTACAATTTACTTACAGTTCCAGCACTGCTGTAGCTACAAACTCTCTCTGATGGATCAAGTGCTTCACCACTGGATATCAACAGTACTTGCTTATCCTCAGGGATTCCAGTCACAGAGGCTACTGTGCTCATAAGTAACTGGACACTGTTAAAGACAGCAAGTACACAGGGTGACTGTTTATGTTTTAAAACCCTTTAAGCCACACTATCCAACTTCTCTAGATTGATTTCCATATAAATAAATGCCTCGCTGGTGGATGAATTGACATTCAGATATTTTGGAAAAGGGTTTTGTTTTTTTTAATCTTAAATGATGGTGATGGTCTGAGTCAAAGGGAAGTACAAAGCTACAAGTGAAACAAAATTAGACCACAACTGAAAGAACAAAATTTTTGTACAAAACATATGCTTTGCCAAAAATGTTCACAGAATTATTTATAGTTGTCAACAATAATAAACCAATTAAGAAAAGTGGAGTTAAATAATTGACGAAACCAAAATATTAACGTCTACAGTATCAATTCATAGCCAGCACTTGTTCTAAAATTAACTTTCATAAACAAACCACCTATTAATACATTAATTTGTGTGCCAACTGAAATATTCACACAATTCAAAGAAAGAAACATTGTTTATAATCTGTATTCGTAAAGTTTTACATAGATAAGCTTTCTAGCTAGGGCAAGCAGAACCAAACAAGTTTACATGAATTACACACTTTCATATTCTGAATATTTCAAGAATGATTTTACCTTTCCATTGCGAGCTCCATCTCAAAAGTGTATACCGTTCCCAAGTCCACATGAAATACGTGTAGCATCTTGACTTTGCCTCCCCTGCGTCTTCCCGTGTGGTCGATATTAGATAAATTCGAGACGTTTTGCTCAGTCTGCACAAAAACTGCTGCGTATCTGTGTGGGAGAAATGCAGGATTTCCGATTGCTATGCCCGAGGGAACAGCGACATAAATCATACATTTTCGCCATCTTTGTTTTCTAAATGCATCAGGCGCTCTTTATGACACTCTCTTCCTCCATTATAGGGAACCCTTTATGGGAAAATAGGAAAACATTTTGCTGTCTTCGTCGACTTCTGATGACTTCACCTCTTTCCTTCACAGTCATAACGTCTTCCAATTGAGCATGCGTGACCATTTTGCCTGCTGACCGGAAGTTACTTGACGAAAAACAAGGGTGTGGGCGGGGCGTCGGGCGGGGACCGGCTCGCAGAGTAGCGCTTGAGCAACACTGCCTTGATACGAAATACACCACCGTAATCATTTAAAAAATTACCAGGAAGAAAGCATTCAAGAGGGGGCAACTCCCATGTAAACGGGCTGAGATAGTTGTTGCCTTGTCTAAGGCTGTATATGGCAGATTTGATACATTCAGGTTATTCAGGATGGATTGCTAATATTTTGCCAATATATATTTTATATACTAAGGGAAAGTTCATTTACTATGACAAGGGGGGGGGGATGAAGATATTGAGGGGGGGCTCCGAAAATTTTTTTCCGAAAATTTGTATACTTCAAAACCAACACATGACATCATCATACAGATCGGATGGTTTTCAACTCAACAATTTAATGACCTCTGCAACTCAGCTATATCACGTGGTTTACAGATATAACAAATGTAGTCCCAGTAATTATTACACTCTTGTTCATCCCAAAAATGCTTTAGAAAATTGTATCACAACTGTATCTCAAGTTTGTCATAGTATAAACCATTGAAGACAATAACGGTAAATATATTTAATACAGTCTAGCGATTTTTTTTCAGGGGAGCAAAGGAATTGAAGGAGGAGGGGGGGGGGCTCTGAAATTTTTTCAACTACCAAGGAGGGGGCTCGTAAAAAATTGAACCGCTAGCGAGGGGGGCTGCTAAAATTTCAAGCTTCGAGTTTCAATATCTTCATCCCCGCCCCCCCCCCCTTGTCATATTAAATGAACTTTCCCTAATACAGGGATCACTTACAGTTGTGTGTGCACATGACAGAGAAAGCAACTCATGACCCCATTTCCATAGCAATTACAAAACGCCATAGCTTGATAGCCCTTATTTGGTTGTCTGTTTTGTAACCCTGGGCCCAGTTGTTCGAAGGCCGATTAGCGCTAACCCAGAGTTAAATTTTACCTAGGGTTTCTTTTTCTTTTCATCAAAAGCACTATCTCGGATAGTTTTCTCTCTTCTTTTTAGAGTATCCAATCATCAAATTGTAGGCAAAGTGAATTAAACTGAACTTGCTTTTTAATCTGTCATAACTGAGTTCAAATTTCACACTAACCCTGGGTTATCTTAACCGAACTTCAAATATGTTTTTATGCCTGTTTAGAGCTCAAACCATGCTCAGACTGGTAACGTTTTTATTTATGATGTGAAAGTTTCGCCCCCACTCAGGAATACTCAGCTACAGGAGGGGGGGAATGGGGATTCTTGTGCCCAGGGAACTTTTTTGGTGATGGAGCCACCATGTGAAGTGAACGGCAAAGCCATGAGGGATTTTTGACTTGACTTGACTTGTATACCCACCCTTCTTGAGGCTCCGACGCCAAAAAACAATACAGCACTCCCATGCTTATCCCGCCAGCTATGCAGGCTAAGCCTGACAGTACTCATGAAAAAGGACAATGAAGAGACACTAAATTATAAATCCACTTTTTAATGACAAGTGGGATAGTTTACAATAGTTGATATTTTCAGTTTATTATCAGATTTAAAAAAAAGTCAACTGTAGTGTCTCTAAATGAGCTGCTTGTGCATATGAAGTGTTACTATCAAAAATAAACTGACATCTTGATTTACAAAATCCATAAGAAATCATAGAAAAATTATTCACAATGTTGACCAATAGGGTAAAAAACCAGAAAAAGGGATTTTTTGTTGCTGTTGTGAATTGTCTATAAATAGAGGGATCACTAACCTATCCTGGCTAGCCCATGTGATAACTTAGTTAGTATTCCTGTGCAAGAAGGGTGTGGAACATGGTGCGAGAGCCAAAAACCTTTTTGTAATACCTACCCCTCGCCCTACTCCTGACTAAACCAATATAAACATTAATCATACTCTCAACAAAAGTGTGCAGTTTCAGAAAGACTCCATACTATCACTGGACTGGAAATTTCACCTGCTATGCAGGTCATCTGAATAAAAGACTAAGAGGTTGGGGGGGGGGGGTTAACAAAAAAATAATATGTGTGTGAAGGTCTAACTGTTTTCTGAAACAATACATTTCCCTATAAACACTCAAATCTATAAAGTAATCTGACCTTTAAGTACAAAGAATCATCTTGTGTCTTTGCACTGTTTCAACAGACCCCAAACATCCTACTCTAAAATACAGTAATTCTCATAACCTCTTAAAAAGACTTACTTACTAACTTAGTTTTAAATTTTCTTTTCAATTTTTTCACTGAACTCTGTTATAGATCCTGGTGCTAGATAAATCATCAATATATATATTTTTTAAAAACTAGGACAGTTGTTGAATTTAGTTTTCAAGTTATGGATTTCATCCCTCATTGATGACCTGAATAACTTCAGAAAGATAAATCAATGTTTTTTCCTCTTTTTTTCTAAGAATAGATATCAAAAACTTATTTGAATGGCACTCTGGGCTATGAAACATAATGATATGATACTAAGTGGTACCCTCACATAAATGTGGTTTGGTTTCACCATTAAAAGTCCAATTTTTTTGGCTCCTCCCACAGAAAACCAGGCTTGAAATGACCAAAGACACTAGTGGCTTTGAAAATGGGTTTACGCAGATCAAGGTCCCTAATGATTGCACCGGGCCTGAGATCAAAATTCTTCTGAATAATTCTTAGAAGCTCATCATCAGGTAACTCACTGCTTCCATAGCTGAAGACAGAAACTGACAAGGGCTCAGGGATGCTTATTGCATACGCTACTTGCACTAAAACGCGCCTACAAAGCCCTGCTGCAACTAACGACTTTGCAATCCACCTGCACGCATAACTTGCCGATCTATCTACCTTGGTTGCATCTTTTCCTGAGAAGGCCCCGCCTCCGTGTGCACCCCAACCCCCATATGTATCTACAATAATTTTGCGACCAGTAAGGCCGGCATCACCCATAGGACCCCCATAAAGAAATTGCCCAGAGGGTAGTAGATGGAAAACAGTTCTTTCATCCAGGTATTTTTCAGGGATGACACCTTTTATGACAGTCTCTTTGAAATGGTGTCGAATTTCCTCCACTGGTACTCCATCTGCATGCTGGCTGGAGATCAAAACAGTGTGCACCCGTTGTGGGACACATGCGCCATCTTCCATACTATACTCCACAGTCACCTGAGTTTTTCCATCCGGTCTTAGCCACGGCAAAGTCCCATCCACTCTGCAGTCTCTAAGTTTTTTAGTCAGTTTGTGGGACAGTACAGTTGTAAGAGGCATTAACTCTTCAGTTTCATCAGTTGCATAGCCAAACATTAAACCTTGGTCGCCTGCCCCTACTTCCAACTCTTTCTTGTTTAAATGTACGCTTCGGGCAATCTCCCCAACTTGCTCCTCCAGCGATAACAAAACACTGCACGTTTTGTAGTCAAAGCCTTTGGAAGAATCATCGTAGCCAATTTCTTTAACGGTGTTTCGTATCACGGCTTGATAATCTACTCGTGCTGACGAGGTGATTTCCCCAAAAGCCATCACCATTCCAGTCTTGGTTGCAGCTTCGCAAGCAACTTTTGCAAACGGATCTTGTTCTAAATGAGCATCCAAAATGGCATCGGAAATCTGATCACACATTTTATCAGCATGTCCTGGACAAACAGACTCTGAAGTGAAAAGGAACTTGTTTCGGTCGCTTGTACTAGTACTGTAAGGTGCCGTTGAAGAGTAGCGTGAAATGCACGAACTTGAAGAAGCGGCCGGTCGTACGACAGACTTCGCCCCAAACAAGCGAGCGATGAATTTTGTTCTGTATTTCCACATTTTGGTTACAGAAAACTCAATCGCAACAGAGTATGTGTCTTTAAGCTTACACCAGCCGAAATGAGCTGAACAATGGATCAGCCTCGTGCAAAATATTGCAAACCAGCTGAGCAATGCAGACTCTCAGTGGTGCAACAATAACAAAACAACAAGGTAAATCGATATAAGATCGTCCTTCGTAAATTATCCCTTCACGCACGTCATAATTTTAAGTGAAAAGCAGTTGTGAGTTCAATTAAAATTTAAAAAGTTCTCAACCATTAATTAACCCTAATGATGACATTTTTATTTAATATTTTATTTTATATTTTCCCTTATTGTAGTCGGGAGTCGCAGCCCTTCGGGAACTAATCGGCTATGCTCGGAATTCTCGTGTTTGCGGAACTAATTTGCCTATCTTGTTTCCGCTGCGAATATAACAATCATTCAGCAACAAAATGGAGGCAAGAGGACAGTCGGCTGTTCAGGTTGAATCTGACCATCATTCTTCTTCAACATCTTTATGGCCGCCTCGCCAAGCATACGCCGAATCTTTGGGATCAGATGACGAAGAAAATGAGGATATATCGCGAACGTGGTGGGTGAAAACTTGGTGGTTTCAACGACTCGTTCAAGTTTGTGCTGTTGTGAGTTTGATATCAACCGCAATGAATTCACCTGAGACGTTTAAAGCATCGCATCATGGACTGAATTACCTAACTCTGATACTTGACATTGTGGTTGCAGTCGTTTTCACCACTGAAATGATAGCACAAGTCAACATGTGGGGGCTATGGAAAAAACAGAAGGCATACTTCAAGCGACCACAGTGTATATTTAATGCGAGTATGCTTCTTCTAATATTGCTCTCAATCGTTTTGCAAATTGTGGAATTATCTGGCGGTTTTTCTCCAGAACGCATACACGATTACGCTGGTTTCTCTGTTCCTAGAGCTCCAAGAGCTCTCATTATAATACGATTTTTTAATGTACTTATAACTATAAACATGCCGAAGTCGGTCGCGCGCCGGTGTAAGCGACAAATCTGGGCTGTGACATTGTTTTTGTTATATTTCATGGCGTTCGGATCAATAATTGGTGTTCAGTTATTCGGGCGCAAAAACTTTTACTGCGTTAAAAGCAGCACTGATTTAAATAACGTAACCTACAATGATATCTTGCTGACCGATCACAGGTGCAATAACGCAAGTGGCGTCGAAGGATATTTTTGCCCTAGCGGATTTAACTGTGTTCATGTGGATTTCAATCAGATGGGCAAAGCGGCGGATAAAGATTATTTTGGAAACTTTCTGCATAGTATTTTAACTGTGTATGAGAGTTCTACGCAAGAAGGCTGGGTGCTTGTGATGTATCGAATGATGGATTTTCGATGGCGTGCCCTGGTCGTTGTGTACTTCGTGTTGCTAATTTTCTTCGTCGCTTGGTTAGTCAAGAACGTCTTCATCGCTGTCGTCTCGGAAACCTTCGCTGATGTTCGGAGCCTGTACATGTATGCTCGGAAATCATCGAAACGAACTTCGGCTCGGCTCGCTTCTCAAGTCATCAAAGACGGTGGAACCGGATGGCATCTTGTCTCGGTGGATCACGAAGCTGCCAAAGGCCATGCCCCCTTGCTTGTTCGACAAATTGTTCATTCGGTTTACTTCAAGTATACAATGTGGTTCCTCGTTTTAGTTGACGCTCTTGTACAGGCAAGCTCTCCATACTACTGGCGGAGATACGCCCAGTTTGGCTTCACCATAATATTCGACTTGGAAGTTCTCTTGAAGATCACTTGCATGGGATTTCGACCGTTCCTTGTCAGCCGTATGCAGCTCACAGAATTTGTGCTGGCTGTTGGAAGTACTGTGTTTGCTCTGCCGATCCTGATCACAGAAAAAGCCGTTTTCTTAGCAGTTTTCAACGTGATGAGGGTCGTTCGTCTAGTCGGAGCAGTTCCTACGCTCCAAGAATTCTGTGAGAAAATTTTCGGAACTGGTAAGAAACTGGGAAGCGCGATCGTGTTCACTCTTTTGTTTGTGATGGTTTCCTCAGTTATAAGCATGCAATTTTTTCTGACATTGGACCCGAAAAATTTTGGTACCTTCATGCGAGCTGTTCAGTCTATGTTCCAAATTATTACCCAGGAAGGATGGGTTGAAATTTTGGACGATTTAGTTCATCAGTCAGAGAACTGGGGCGCCAAATTCTTTGTTGTCATAGTCATCCTAGCTGTTCATCTATTTTCTTCTCTAATCATCATGAGCGTATTTGTCGCAGTTATCCTGGACAATTTAGAACTTGATGAAGAAGTCAAAATCATGAAACAAAAGAAGATGGGCGGTGACTCGAGAGATTACACCGAAGCTCTGCCGAGACGCCTTCGTGTCTTCGAGCGTTTCCGTGACGACCCGCGATTGGTGAAAATGAGTCGCATTAAAATGGCTTCGGATTTCGCCACTCCGAAGATTCGTGATAGTTTCATGAAAAAGTTTATTGACTGTACAAATTTGGACTTTCCCATGAGCGACGACCCAAGACTTCACATTGGAGATAATTCACAGCTAAGAAGGCGGCGGACTGCAATTCCAGTTAAACTCTTGAACTCAACAATCTCCGAAGTGGATAAGCTTTCAAAGTTTGTCAGAAAACAGTCCAGTATCACAGCTCTCATCAATGACTCAAATCGCCAGAGATCCCATGCGCTGCTGTCGCCAACCGAAATTTCTTCGCGAGGTGCCGTCCCCGGCGGAAACAAGCAGGTAACTGCAGCGACTAATAAAGTTTTCCGATCAGCCTCGAGGCGTTTCCGAAATCGCCAACCGCAGTCTCCGAGGCCAGCCCCCCAGGGCGGAGTGAAGCAGGTGATGAGAATGGCGAGTCAGGCGACCGGGCTTCACTCACAGATAAATCAAGATGACAACAGTAACATTGGCAGAGATTTTGATATTCAGTGGGTTCGGGTCAAAAGAGAAGAAGCTCAGAGAAAGAGAGAAGCTCAAGAAGAGAAATTACGCGAAAACCATCCATACTTTGACCAGCCGCTTTTCTCTCTACAGCGCGACTCATGGCTGAGACAGTTTCTCCAAAACATAGTGAGCGCACGTTACACAATTCCACCCGGGCACAGAGAGCGCGCGTCACGCAATCATATCTTTACGTTGGAACGTCTCTACAAGTGTTTAGCTTCACAGACGTACTTAGAATGGTTCATGATTTTTGTCACAGTGATGTCCTGCATGGCTATGATGTTTGAGACACCAGTCAAACGAACCTTCGTCAGATTTTGGACGGAAGTGATCGAATACATTTTCGTTGTTGCAATGAGCTTAGAGCTTGGCATGCGTATTCTTGCCAACGGTTTGTTTTTTACTCCCAAAGCTGTCATCCAGAACTTTGGTGGCTTGCTCGACGTATTTATCTACTTTGTTGCCCTTGCTTACGTTGCCTGGCAACCACAGTCCATACCCGCCCGTTCGGGAGCTCAAGTGTTGATGGTATTAAGGTGCCTTCGACCCTTGAGGATCGTCACTTTGGTCCCAAAGATGCAAAAAGTGATCCTAGAACTTGTTGGTGGCTATAAGGAAATCCTCAAAGTAAGCGCTGTACAGTTCATGCTCATGTTTATTTTTGCTAGCTATGGAGTCCAAGTGTTTTCTGGCAAGTTTGGAAGCTGCAATGATCAAACAATCAAGGAAAGATCTAAGTGCAAAGGGACTTTTGAGATCGACATAGCACCTCCCCGTGAGTTGCGTGACTTGCAAGGCAGTTCAAGGATTACCGTCCCGCGTGTGTGGAAGAAGCCAAGAAATTTCGACTTTGACAACGTGCTGCACGCATTTTTAGCCCTGTTTGAGGTTCTCTCGTTGGAAGGGTGGCTGGAAGTTCGGGATGTGATTAAAGCAGTCGTTGCACCGGAATACAGTATCTATGTTCACATCTACGTACTCTTAGGAAGCATGATCGGCTTGACTCTCTTCGTGGGCGTGATTGTCATGAATTTCAAAGCGAACAAAGGCATTGCGTTACTTACTGTGGATCAGCGACGCTGGCAAGATCTCAAGAAACGTCTTCGACTTGCTCAGCCTCTGCATCTCGCGCGCAGACCAGACAGCGAAGGAATCCGTTCTTTTCTCTTCGACACAACGCAGTCAAAGATTTACAAACGCATCATCATTTTCCTGGTCGTTGTTGATTGCGTTACACTTACGATCGTCCAGTGGACGTCTGAGGATAACCTGCGATTGCGTGACGGACTCACAAGCACGGCTGCTGCGTGCTCGCTGTTGTTTGTTGTCGATATGCTGTTGAAAATTGTCGCGTTCACTTTCCCAGGATATTGGCAGAGCCGGCGGAACCGGTTTGACATGTTTCTAACCAGTCTTGGAGTACTCTGGGTGACTTTAAATTTTGCTTTAAAAGGAAGCGGGGATCCATATACCGGGACAACAGTGTTTGGAATGGTTATTATCCTTTTCCGTTTCCTAACTCTCTCCGGTAGACATGACACTCTCAAGATGCTGATGTTAACAGTGGTCATGTCTCTAGTGAAGAGTTTCTTCATCATAGCGGTACTTATAGTAATAATGATTAGTTATTCTTTAGCAGGCGTGATCTTGTTCGGTACTGTGAAGTACGGCGAAGCGTTAAATCGTCACGCGAACTTCCAGACAAGCTTCAATGCTATGATCCTGCTATTCCGTATTACAACCGGGGAGGACTGGAACAAGATTATGCACGATTGCATGCTGTCTGAACCATACTGCACGGAAAACGAGTCCACGCCCAATTTCTGGCAAACTGACTGCGGGAATAGCGCTGCAGCGCTGATATATTTCATGACGTTTTATGTCATCGTAACGTTTGTTTTCTTAAACCTTTTTATCGCCGTAATCATCGAGAACTTCTCCCTATTTTATTCCAGCGATGAAGATTCGCTGATTAGCAACAACGACTTAAGAGACTTTCAGCTTACTTGGAACTTAGTAGACAAGTATCGAAAAGGAGTTTTGACTGTAAGACAAGCGAAACTTGTTCTGCGCTTACTTAAAGGTCGCTTAGAAGTGGACAGTGGTTCGTTGTTATTCAAGCACATGTGCTACGAAATTGAAAAGCTCCGAAACGGAGGCGAAGTGTCTTTTCATGATGTGATTGGCGTGTTGGCTTACCGCTCTGTCGACATCAGCCGAAGTTTGCAGTTGGAAGAATTGCTGGAGCGCGAAGAACTGGAATATCAAATTGAAGAGGAAGTAGCGATTCAAACTATTCGTGATTGGTTTATTAATCTGCGTCGAAAGCGTGCCGAGCGGGATTGGATACGACATTTGGAGCAAGGCGGTATCCCATTGGCGGGCGGAATCCAGTTTTCCGACAACAAAAGTCCGGGCGCTTCGAGCGTGGAAAGCATGGAAAATTCCGCCAATGAGGAGCAAGATCGTGACACTGAAGCCGAGCGTGAAAATCGTGAACACGACAGCAGTGAAGATGATCGTGACGACTTTTCATTAACTTCTCCTTCGAAGGTACCGTCCATCTTGCTTTCTGCTCCGTCAAAGCGCAAGAAATCGGAACGCAAAATTTCTCCTGCTCAGAAAAGTTCTGTTACGTTTCCGGACGAGCTATCGATGTCAGGGAAACGACGAAGTTTACCAGACGCTGTGGCTGCACCTCGCGCGCGGAAGAAAAGCGTCCCTGAAATGAAGGAGTTTGCGGGAGACGTGCGTGATTGGTGGACAAGTCAGCTGGGTGACTCTGAAGGAGTTTAACCCTCTCTCTTGCAAGAATGGCTGAAGTCAAAATTGAAGAAAAATCGGAAAATTCTGCCAGTTGTACCGAAAAACAATTGGTACCATGTAAAAGCACTGCTAAAGAGGTTTTAAAAACTTGAATTGTCACTCTTTAGGACTTCACCCGCGGGTATCAGGTCGTTTCGCCCGAAGGTCGGTTCGCCCGATAGCAGTTCGCCCAGACTAAGTCGATTTGCCCGAAGCGTATTTGTCGATCGTTCTTCAAGCCTTAAGAAAGGGAATCAGCATGGAAAGACAGTAAATGCACATATGGAATCCAGGGGTAACTAAAATAACATCTCGAAAGGTATTTTCACCACGTTGTAGAGTGTTGTATGTCATCGGCCGAATCGACTGATGTCTTTCCGAACGCCGTCGGGCGAAACGATCGCAATTCCATCCGCAGACTCAAGAGTTAGAACCACCCCATGCATCACAATGGAGAGAGCTTAAGCAACCACGACAGCGACGGTGGGGAAAACTCCACTTAAAAATTGCATTTGCGCGGTTTCAAACTTCATCGCTCCCTTTCTTTCAATTTGTCAAATGTTGGTGAATTTTTGTGGAGTTAAATTCTAAAGGTCTGTATCTAAAGGTGTAGCAAACGAAAGATTTGTTTTATTGCTTTCACGTACTCCATAAAACGAGAAATTAGGGAGTTTCACGTCGTAGATTTGCAGCGACGCTGAAAGTATATCAAAAAGCGTGAGGCAAGTGTGAAGTTGTTGTTTTGTTGATCTTACCCTATTGCGGGACTTTTTGCCATTGTCGTTGTCGTCGCCGTCGCCGTTGCTTAACCTCAGTAATAAATATTATCACAGGAAAGTATTGCTCATTAGCTTTCTTTTTAATGGTCACTACCATAGAATATCTTCCACGGAGTCATGTATGTCGCTTTAATTGACTTCAGAAAATGGATTAGTATTTTTAAGTGATGCACGTCCACCGGAAGTGGACTTTTTGAACTCTTCGGCTGTGATTTTGATCAAATCGTCTCTATAAGAGTAAAGGCACTTATCTATGCAAATATGGTAGCCTCGAGGCATAGTAAAAGAGAAAAAGGCACACTTCTGGTTGACGTGCCGCGTGCGTCGCTCAAAAACGTCGCTGTTTAAACTTGCTAGTGTTGGGGAAGGAGAGCATACTGGAAGTCAAGAGGTCTTCTCTGTTGTTTCAGCAGAAATTGACGAGTATTGTAGGCGTTGCTCATGTTTTACCTCGCACCAACCCTTGTTATCGCTTAACGCTAGGTAACAGAATATTCAAATTACCCTCTTTAAAAACTCTAGGAAGAATGGGTACAAGCTTTGGTTAATAGTATTCAAGGAAACTATTAACCAATCATAAGTAACACTTGTCCATCAAAACGATCCCAGAATTCGTTGCGCCGAAAGCTTGTACCTATTCTCCTTATAGTTTCTAGAGTGGGAAATTTTGGGGCCGTTTGCTTTTACCTTGCGTTACACCTGTTAACGGATTGTAACGCGCACGGCGGGAGCAGGAGGGGGGGGGGATGATATCCTATGTGCCACAAGGGAGATCTAGAGGTTCAACAGAGACGAATAGGGAGGAGACACGTTTAAATTATTTGGCGCCAAAAAAAACTTGTTCCTTTGTGCTTGTGCGTATAGTACATATGTTTTGCAACCTTCATGTGTAGCAAAAATTTTAATATTATTTTAAGAGTTTTCAGAACAATTTTATGATTACACTGTAGTTACTGTTGTTGTATCATACAAGAAAGTGTAATATATTGGTGTAGATACCGTCAAAGAGAAATGCTCTTATGTGTGTGTGCTTTATTATATCCTTAGAATCCCAGTATAGACTGGAAGGAAGACCTGAGGTATTTTTGACTCGTTAGGTGGGAGGGGGTGGGGTACGTGTCTTTATGTCCGTCTCTTTTTCTCCTGGTGCAATTCTACCCAGTTTCAAGCGGAGCCCCTCAAAATTAATCCTGAAATATCAGGCCTGATTTGAGCACCTCCATGGGCTTCTGGCTGCTCAAATACATTCTCCGTATGGGATTAGGCTAAATTTTTTTTTCACCTTGCCCACCGGAACTCTATTTACCAAGCAAAAGCCTGAAGTCACATTATCAGATTACCTCAAAATGGCCAATAGGCTCTGACTGTGGGCCTTAGTAGTGTGTCAGTTAATTAATCCCCCTCGCTCCCTAATTATGACTGGTCTCTCAGTGAGCCAGCTAGGGTTTGGGTATCGTTCTGATTCATCATGGCGTCTTCTTTAACTTATATCACAGTTACGGTCTGTCACTGCGACAGCGGGGTTATTAGCTCCTGCGCTCTAGCCTGCGAGCGAGCTCTCCTATTTGAGCGAGCGAAGCAAGCCTCGCGAGAACGCCGCTCGCTCGCGCGTTCTCGCGAGACTCGCTTCGCTCGCCCAAAACGCAGGCTACCTGCGCTCCTGGCGACGATCATTTGCTCCTCAAAACAGTGAATGAAATTAAAAATTTCACTCTTATTTCCTTAACGAAGCAGTGCAACGTTATTTAAAGTTGTCTCTGCTAAGGCTAAAGAAAACTTCCTTTAGGGCAAACAGGGAGAATTTCCAAACACGCCCGCGCGCGTGCAGGGAAGGGACGTTATGTAATACAAAAGAGAGTGTCCAACCTGTAAACTGGAAACGAGTTTACTCAGTCGTAGCTGATCGAAGAAGGCAAGAGAGTTTCCACACAGAAAAAAGAGCGTTTTCTGTCGTAAGCAGGTGAGAAATTATGATTTTTGACATGAGATGATTTGCAAGCTCTGACAGTTCTCTCGTTGAAGGGTTGATGCACTTTAGTGGGTGATTGTAAAAGTGTGACATAACGTTTTGCAACTTGTCGCTTGATATGATGAAATAAGTCATGTCTCGTATTGACCTTAGAAGGATAGATTAAATTTACTAGTTTAAAAACTTTTCTTCAACATTAGAACGCAGATCTAAAGCTGGAACCCTTAAACATACAAACCTCTTTCCATGTACGAAATAAAACTTAAATCTTTGCTCATTTAAATCATACGTTTAACCATGATTTTTTTTCTAAAGAATGTTTTCCCTTGCTGGCAATTTTAATAGATGATTGTTAGTAGCAGTTTATAAGCTAGGAAAATGTGCTTAGTTGAGGTGTTTCATAACAAGTACAGTGTCGAAAAAACCCTGAAGTCATGGCTGCAGTTATGTACATTTGTATGCATCATGGCAGGCAGAAAGTGGGCTAATACTTATACACCACATTTTTCAAAGGACCTTTTTAATTAGACCTTCTAAAATCCTCTTTTTTTTTTCCTGGTTGATTATGCCATTTAAAAGGACTTTTTATACCTGTTTGGCGCAGATTCAGCAGTGGGAAATGTCCACTGGTGAGATCATGACAATTGACCAATAGGAGAGTGAGGGATTAAGCCTGATCTAACCTTCTGATATTTGACACCACTCCTGACACAGCATAATCATGTCAAAGATTTTTTTCCTGCACAACCTAACTGAAGCTTGCTTTGCTCACTTTTCCTCCTTGCCAAAGCCTGCTTCTCGCACATTTAAGAACTTACAAGAGGCCGACTATGGAGCCTGCATTTTAAGTGGGCTTATATGTGGAGTGACTTGCCGTAATAATATTACTCAAATCATCACTCTGCTTTAAGTAAGCACCCCTCCCTTTGAATAAGTGCCCCCTCCTTAAGTTAAAAATATGGAGTATGTTCTAACTTCAAATAGCACCTCCACCATACCCCTCCTTGCTGAATTAAAGCGTACTGTACGTGCATCCACAAATGAGTATAGCATTAGATATACAATCACCTGACAATGGCCATTTGAGAACATCACAATGTAGAATGAGATCAGAAGCGTCATTTTCATTATTTGTGTTTCACAACTTGTTTTAAAACTTTCTCATATTCTTAGTAGATAATAATATTAGTTTTCTTCTCTTTATAGATATGGGTGGGAGCTCATCCACTCCAGTACCTGATGGTAGCGCTGGAGCAGCCGTCATCACCCAAGCTCCACCAAGTGGCTGTCCAGTTCAACACACATCACTTGCTTCAGAGAAATCACAGCCATCAATCAGTGAGTGCCCTGCTCATCAAGACAGCAGGATGAGGCCTCAAGCCAGTGAGTGTCCTATGAGTGCCGGGAGTGGCTGTGATAGCAGAACCATTGATCAAGGAACAGATGCCTTGGATCCAACAAACATGGTAACAGACTACATTCAATTATTTTATTAATAAGAGTTTTCACATTATCATGATGTAGATCAATGTAGTCAACATTTCTACTGCTTACTTCTAGAATTTTGTAGGAGATGAGGTTGAGTGATTAACAAAGGGCCAAGGGACTCCCATAAAAATGGCAATAAGGAGGTTTTGTTATATTTCAAGGTTTTTTCCAAACATTTTACTGTTACCGGGGCAAGGAATATCATTTGTTGTACCAAGGACCTTGTTATATAGAGGTTTATTAAATCAAGGTTCCACTGCACTCACCTTCTTTTGTCCTACAATAATAATATTACCTAGTAAAATCCAGCTAGTGGTCTATTATCAATGCTTTTTTCCGATTGGTTGAGCTACCATTAGGCTATATGTTATAGTCCACTAGTAGCGAAAAGCGCCAGCTTAGAGAAAACAATGGTGGGTGAATCGCTCAAGGAATAATTGTTAAATAATTGGCCATGATGGGTGTGCTTCAACGCTCACTCTTCCTGCGAGATGTAGAAGTCAATCCTTCAACACTTCTAACCCCAGTATCAGTTTTTTTGTTGATAACTTTGATCTACTTACTCAGCAGCCTACAAATACTGATATATTTCTGTCTCTGAGAGAAGCGATGGTCAGAAATGTCTTGATCAGCTGTAAGCCACAAGCACTTCCTTGAGTACCCTTTTTATTTAATTTTATTCTATTTTTATTGTTTTATCAAACATCACATTACAATGTGTTCACTTAGCTTGGACTGTGTTATTTTATCGTAGTATCACTTTAAATTAAGTGAATAATAATTACGGTATTTATTCAATTAACCACCCTGGGCACTTATTAAATTTTTGGACCTTGAGAGTGGGTGCTTATTCGAGGCTGGGCACTTATAATCAGCAAGTGTAGTAATATTTATTTTGCAACAAGTCAATAAATGATAATACCAAAGATGTAACAAAGCAAGGTTTCTGTAAAATACTCTGAAGAAAACTCTCTTCAGCAAAGTCTCTTATTAGTCTCTCATTTTTGTTGAGTGGAAAGAGGAAGGGGGGTGGGTTTTGGTTGTGGGTGCTTATTTAAGGCTGGGCGCTTATTAACTTTTTCTACGTTTAGGATGGGCGCTTACTCCAGGTAGGCGCTGATTCAAGATTGGGCGCTTATTCGAATAAATATGGTATTTATGTTTACCTTCCAGATGCCACCGCCAAACCAAAGGCCATCTCCTGGTCAGCCATTTGCTCTGCCAATTAATCGCCAAGTGTCAACTATTCCCCGAGGGGGGGCCGATAAAAGTGAAAACTGGGTGTACCCATCTCAACAGATGTTTTGGAATGCAATGCTGCGTAAAGGCTGGAAATGGCAGGATGACGAGGTTCAACCCCATGACATGGAAAATATCATCAAAATTCACAATGCCAACAATGAGAGTGCATGGCAGGAGATACTGAAGTGGGAGGCACTGCATTACAAGTAAGGCAATAGCAAATATATGAGGTACAGCTGAACCCCAAGGGATTGGAGGGAGGGTACCAGCTGCCACATCTGTGCTACTGATATACAGTTAGAACTGCTGTGAGAGGTATAGTTTTCAAGAACTTCAGTCTGGGAAAGGGTATAGAAATCAGAGAATTTGAGTCTTCTAGAGTAAGTTATAATTGTCACTATAAAGTGTAATTGCAAAGAAAGCATCGACCTGGGAATGCAAGGGACAGGGGGCAGGGAGTTTGGACCCCCCTCCCCCCCCCCCCCCCCCCCCCCCCCCCCCCCCCCCCCCCCCCCCCCTCTTCTCCTTCTTATTTTTTGGGTGTTTTTTTTTTTTTTTTTTTTTTTTTTTTTTTTTTTTTTTTTTTTTTTTTTTTTTTTTTTTTTTTTTTTTTTTTTTTTTTGTTTGTTATGATGTAAGTTTTAAAAAAAGAAGCGGCATGGGAAAAAAAAGGAAAGGGGGTAGGGATTTTTAACCCCCTTCCCCCTCCCCCCACCCCCACACAGTAATACTGCCAGTAGTGGCATTATTTTCATCGGGGATGTTGTTGTTGTTGTTTGTTTTTTTTTTGTTTTTTTTTTTTTTTGTTTTTTCAGGGAATGTAGTTCACCGAAACTTCTAAGTTTTCGAGGGAAAGCAAAAGAGTTTTCTCCCAGAGCAAGAATTAGAAGTTGGATGGGGTAAGAGCTTTTCTAAAATCATTTGGATAGATTCCTGGGGTTTTCACTGCTTTGCAGACTGTGTAGAAATCCTTTAAATCCTACATGTACCATTGACCATATTTTCCAAACTGTTTTCAATACATTTCCTATGGTGCTAATAAGGAGAATTTGTTTAGCCCGACCCTGGAAATTTTGCCGAAAAACGCGTTTTGAAGCTAGTTGAGCGGTGTTTTCGTCACTGTCGTGCTGTAAAGAGCTAAAACTTACCATAAAGCCATTTACAGGTCGTAAACTTGGCGGCCTTCTGATGCAGATGCAAAATATTAGCTTTCTTTTTTCTTTTCTCATTTTTTTCTTTTGCTGGGCATTTAGTAGGCTTCATTTTGGTGGGAAAAAATTTAGGAAAGCTTTTAGGATCTTAGGATTAGGTGAAAGGAAAGGTGGGTGGGTAGTGGAACAAGGTTTTCATGGAAATTTTCAGGTCAATGTTACATGGTTTTTTGCCTTTCTCTGCGGTGTCCTTGACTGAATTGTGCTCATTCTGGTTCGGTTTGAAAGATCTCTTCACTCTGCACAAGTTAACGGACAAAGTTGTCCTTGACCATTAAAACTCATAACGTAACAAGCGGTAGAAGGGACGTGGATTCGCACGGGCGGTTACGGGCGGATCAGAGGCGAATGAGTTAACAGGGCATTTTTACGTGGTGATCAATCACCTCACTCTCTTGAAATTGATGTGTGTTTCTAAGGAGAAATTAAATGCTGGTCATTCTAAGAGGGTCTCTTTGCTAATTCCCTAGGTACGAGTTACCATTTGATCGTCACGATTGGATCGTCGATCGCTGTGGCCAAGAAGTCCGATACATCATCGATTACTATGACATCGGGGACGAAGAGGCATACAAGAGAGGCGAGTTTGTTTTCCTTGATGTCCGACCAGCAATGGATTCATTTCAAGCAGTTTTAGATAGAGCGAGAGTCGCTGTACTTCGTTGGTCGCTTTATTTCAGCAAGAACGACGATTAAATAGCATAAAAAAAGTCATGAACTTACAGAAATGGCCATTTAGTCTATTTACGTGGAGTGACAACGGTTTTTAAGAACTTTGTCCAAGAAAAAGTCAAAAATTCATGGAACACATCTGCGTGGCCTGTTTTGATTTTTGAGAGTACTCCAGGAGTTTAGAGTCACAATGAAACAACGTGATTCCAGCAAAAGTGGAGGAAGAGTGGTTTTGTAACAAGTACAAAACTCGCCGCGATCACCCAAGAACATTTCGACAACAATTAATTTCTAGACTTTCCAGAGGAGCGAAAAATATTTCTGTTAATGTACACCGTAAGATTTTCCTCTTTTATAAGTGGTACCCCTCAGCCTTTTGCTTAAAAATATTTCGCGCCCCTCGCGTTTATGCATTTATAATATATTTTACAAAGATGAGCCAGACAAAAATTATTTGTTTGAGACGAGTGTATTTGTACTCAGTTTGAGATAAACGGCATAGTATTACATACATGTGCTTGTAGAACTGGAAAGGTGAATAAATATTTACCAACATTGATGGGCTGTATAGATCTGGATAGATACTACTAGGTAGCGGTCCGATTTTGCTTACGATCTATTGCAAACCAGATTGTCGGAGTCACAAGCAGGTTGAAAAGAACTAAAGGAACCACAAAGCGTTAGAGCCAACGTTGCGACTGCTTCATTCTCACATCTTCTGCTTAGTGCGACTCCGACAATCTCAGTGGTCTTCGCTGAGAAAACAGCCGATATTTCGCTGTGGTTTCCCCGCGAAATGGCGTCTGAGAAACGAGCGCAGAAATTCCATAATGATGACGCTTACAAGCCAGATCTGGATAGAGCTTCTGATTGGTCAGAAATTTTCTTCATCCAATAAGAAGCTCTTCGCAGATCTGGGTACTGACGCGTCATCGGTATGGAATATCTGCGCTCATTTCGAGGGGAAAGCACCGGTAGCGTCGCGAAATATCATACGCAGAATCTAAAGGAAATAGAAACGCTCTGGATCTTACAATATTCAGTCGGGCTTATGAATCCGATTTTTCATTTTCACTGGGGTCATAAGGGTTCTTACTACTCCGATTCAATGGCCAGAGAAATCCAGCCTCAAGTCACTCAATGACAACCACAATCAATCAAAATATAGTATACAAATAAATCATTTATTGAAAGAAATGGAAGCAGAATTTTTAAATTACCTAAGATGCTAAAATAAAACTACCTAAAACTGTATTTTTATTTTGTTTTGGTTATAGCTCGTCTCCTCTATGAGCAGAAGATCCTTGCTTGTTCTTTTCGTTTTTCGAAGTTTTCCTAAATTGAGAAAAGAAATTAAGCAACATTTAGTTTGTTCACTGAGGTTTGCGCACTAAGCAACGAGCTACATTTGGCAAGCACATGCACCAAAATAAGAACTCAATTGCATTGATATCCGCAAACATCTTCCAAATTTGTTCAACGCAAGCTGTTTTTTTTAACAAAACGACAACAATTTCCCATCGTCTGTACTCTTATCGACCTTAGAAATGACGTTAAAAGTGTTCAAAACTCAAGTGGAACCACGAGCCGCAGGGGAGTGGTTTCACTGCAAAGTTTGGGCCGTTTTGACCTCATTTCTAAGGCCGATAAGAGTAAAGACCATGGAAAATTGTTGTCGATTTGTTTTTTACAATAACAATGGAAAGTTTTGATGTTCATTCCCGTTGAATTTAATCGGAGAATCGCGTGCGCGCGCAAGAAAGAAACAAATTGTGCCATCATCACAGACGTCATTTCCATGGTCTGTACCCTCTAACGAAGATTACTCTCGACCAATCAGCGTGGGAGAAATCGCTTAGTTACGGTAAAAAAAACTAACTGGCGGATTTAAGCCAAACCAAAAAGTAGCCTTCATGGCAGGCGCAAAAAGGTGTGGAGGAGGGGGAGGGGGAGAGGGAGAAAAGCGCGAAAGGGAAAATGGAAGGGAGCACTTACACACTCTCCCCAAATCCCCCTTCCTTGTTCTCTTCCTTCCAATCCCCGACTACTTTCGATGCCTGCTACGCAGGCTATCAAAAAAGTAGAAATATTTTGAATGAACAGTAGAAGCTGTTGTCAAGTTGAGCACGGGGTCAAATATTACTCGGTTTCAAAGAATATATAGACACGGACCAATATGGTCTTGAAAGTCAAAAAAATAATTATGTAATAAATTTTTCTTGACGACTTACTTTTTCTTGTCCTTAGCTTTAGTTCTCTTTTCATCCGTTTCTTCCGACGTGGTTGTTTTCTGACAGTCAACCGGCAGCATTTCATTAAATCGAGAAAAAGGCGATAAATTCTCCCGGCCCAGAAAAATTTCTGAGACAACGTCACTAACACGCTCTTTAGTGAGATCACCATGCATTGTTTTAAACAGCCGTTGTTTTGGTTTTGCAAATAACAACGCTGGAAGGTTGTCTTCAGAGATGCCGAAGATTTCGCCATATTCAGGATGGCACGAAGCGTTCACCCAGAGATAATGAAGAGGTTTTCCTAAAGGGGAAGAAAAGTCGATGAAATAAAACTATAACATATAAAAGAGGTGGTCCCCTCTCTTTGGAATGAAAGGGGCTATTATGTCACGAGGATATCAGTGGCGGATCTAGGGGAGGGGCCCGGGGAAGCCGGGCTCCTCCCCTCTGTTTTTAGACCAAACTGAGGCCCGAAGGGCCGAAAACAAATTTTTGGAGACCCGGCGCCCCCTTATCTAAGGGTTTAGATCCCCGCCCCTTATTTTGAGGTCTGTATCCAGCGCTGGATATCGCTCTTTGTAGGCCAATTCTGTGCTGAATTCATTCCTTAGCGCCTTTACACGTACACAAAAGGCTCCTGCAGTGAGAGTTATGAAGAAGATCATATATAACACATTTATTGGGGAGAACTAACTATTATATTTTTTGCGATTTTTGCAGGAATAGTATTAAAATTATTTTTTTTCAAGTATCAATCCAATCTTAAATAGCTTGTTCAGGGCTCCGAGATTGTTGGGTCCTCGAAATTGAGAAAGCCCGAACACGAAAATAAAACGGAAAGAAACTGGGGAGAAAACGCCCCCTTTTCCTAGATCACGTGCTTATATTTTTGCGTACCTTACACTTTAGCGTCATTCCTAATATCTGAGAGCCTGGAACCGTCTAATCTTAAATGTCAAAATTGTACCATTATTTTGGGAATTTAATTAATGCAAAGACCCGTTTTAGCGTGTTAAAAAGAAAAGCGAATAGCGTGACTAAGCCTTTTTGATTCTATTGCATGTGTCCAACGATCATCCCCCCCCCCCCTCCCCTTTAATATAGTAGTTCCCATTGGAAATCACGCCTCTTTCAGGCAAAAGAGTTAGAAATATGATCTCATTTCTGTGACTATTTTAAAAGAAATTATAGCATCTCTACTTGACTAAGGCCATTTGCCCCCTGGCGTCATTTTACTACTACGACCAGAATCCTCTTCGTCTTTTTTCTATGTTACTACAGTATAAAATAAGCCGCGTTACCTTCAAGACTCGGCATTTTCTGCAGGTCTTTAAAGAGTCTCATAGCCTTCTTAACCCCGTTCTTTTCCTTAGCATCCACAAAATATATCAAACACAATCCTAGTGCGGAGTCAGCACACACTCGTTTATGATTCTCGTATGTAACTTCAACTTCTCGTTTCTCATCCAAAGTATCATCTCTCTGTTCATCCTTTGCTAAAATTTCTTTGAGGTCCTCAACGTAAAATTCCTTTAGCCCCACTTTTCCTTTGTATTTCTTCGCATCGGGATGGTCTCCCCAATGCTTATTATGAACGGAATAGAAAAATTTCGTCAAGTTAAGGTAAGAGATCCCACCATAAAGCTTTGTATCATAAAATACAGAGCTGAATGTGATCCGCGCTTTGTCAGGACTTTCGGTAGCAATCATCACCAGAATTGTTGGTAGTTTTTCTATGTGGAAGCTCCGCAGTATGTCCTGGCTAGGCTTTCGCATCACGCCGAAAGTAAAGAACTTGGAATACCTCAGAGTGATAGCGCGTAAGAGAGGTGAAGTAACTCGTTTTTCTGGAAGAAGGAAAGATGAGAGAATATCAGTTTCATGATGATTCTGTTTTTTGTTTTCCTTTTATTCCTTATGACTGAATACTCTAAGGCTGAACCCCGGGGGTACTTAACAAAGTTTCATTCGGGGGGGGGGGGGAACTCGGCCCTGAGGTCCACCCCGTACCCCCTAAATACCCCCCCATAAACCTTTTTGTACAGAAACGTTCCTTTCTTATACCTTCTATTAACCACTTGCTCATTCTCTCTTCCCATGTGTTTACATTGGTACCTTCGGGATTGCTTATTAGCTTACCCTTTCTTACAACGCATCTATCCTAGTGAAAACCCTCCCCTATCATAAGCCCAAACCGATAAAAGGGTGTCTGTTGTGGGCCGAGATTGCCCGTAAGGGCTATGATTGGGAGGCCCTCCCCCCCCCCCCGGGGCAGAATTGTTAGTTGTTGCCAGTAACTCATATCTTCGACAACTTTACGTGTGATAGAGTGATGAGTACGCCGATATGCAACAAGTTATCCGAGAAAGCTGCCGAGTTCATTTTTCTGCAAACATCATCTATTTGTTTTCCCACAGACAGATGTTGTTGCTTGACCTTGAATTTTTATTCTTACGTCTGTAAGGAGATTCAGTTCTAATCTAATAACGAGAAATAAAGGACGAAAAGATGCTTGATGTACCTGTCACCAATAGTACTGGCATTTTCAGAGGTTTGGCTGAGTAAGCTCGTCTTACATACAGTTGAAGTTCGTCCATGTTTTTGACCTTCATTGTTTCGTCTGGAAGGCTTTCTAGTGCAATTTTTTCAGCCTCTTTCAGGGAGTTCACGTCTTGTTGTTCAGCTGCTTTAATTTTGTACCCACCATATGGAAATATTCGGGCAACTGGATATTTTTTGTCCTTCTGAAGAAAGCCCTGGGAATAAAAAGAAAATCAGTTCAATTGATATCAGTATAGGCGATAAAGGCTACTGAAATAAACTATAAACTAAAAGAAAAAAAAACTTTTTGTTTTAATATCCTACTGACAAGAGAAATAACTTTGTATGCCATAAAATCTTTGCAGTACGTTAAGTTTTCTCTCTTTTCTTGACTATTATCCCGGTGACAAGTTTCTTAGAGTGATTTTACTAGAACCGTGAAATAGGCAGTAGAATACAACGCACTATTATGTACTTATTCTATTATCTTTTTTTGTTTACCTCTCGTAATTATTTTGCACTATTTGTTAGTATCTGTTCCACGATTCAAGTAAAATCACTCTACGTATTACATCATCGGCTATTTTCAAGTGGCGCGTGACTGGGTTGGTGTGGTGTCGAACTGCACTATGGGACTGTTTTACGGAACGATTTCTGACCCAGTTTCCCGCGCAGCTTAGTGATATCCAATAAAAGAAACAATGGAGCCCCCAAAACAATCCCATAGTGCAATTCGACAGAACTCCGACCCATATCTCACGCGCAACCCCTCAAGGAAACTTGTTCCCAAGGGCCGCCATCCTTTCGTCAGCTGGACAAGGATTAATGAGGTTCTGAAAAAGAGACGGCAGTTTACGGTCTCCCTTTGCTCCTTAAGGAGGCAAGCAAAAAACAATTCATAAACCTCGGGAAAATATAAATGCCGCAAAGCAATAAAGAAAGCTGCTGTAAAGAAAACTTCAACTAAAAGTATTTGCAAAAGAAATTTAAATAATGAATTTACCTTTTTCTTCATGAAAGCTCCATCTTTCTCAGGATCAATAATTCCTACTCTCACAAATAATCCTCGAAGATTTACTTCCAAGTCTTGCCATTCAGTACGTGATATTTTGCCAGCCCCTTTCACCGCCACAATCCAAGCATCTTTTTCTCCGTCGATCACCATATCCTGATAATTTTGTGAGGTGATTTCCACGATGCCATATTTCTTTGAGAAGACCAGTTTAGCGAGGAATAGCAAGCCAAGGACGAACTTGTAAAAACTCGGCAGAAAATTCATAATCGCCAACCGTAACAATTCGTGGCTAACAGGTGTATAGAAGATCCAAAACTTTAAATCTCAGAACTGGCTTTAAATTTCAATTAAACAAAAGCTCACTATATGCAGCTTGTACAAAGACAATTTTTTGGAACTCTTTTTTTGTATCACCTAAACAGAGCGACTGCGATCGAAGACTTAGCAAGTAACATTTGTAATGCACCATTCATTATGAAAGAAAGAAAATTCTATAAGGAACTGAATTAATGCAATTGTTTGCTTTAATATTACGTGGCGTTGATTTAGTCTAGATTCAGTTTCTCAGCTGCACAAATAATTCATAAATTACAGTAGAACCACCACGGCCACCGTCGAAACAAAATTTGGTGGCCATTGTGTTTATAATTTCTAATAAAAGAAAAACTATGCTACGTAGAATGGAGTCTCCATCAACACGTATCCGATTTTCTTTGAAAACGGGATTAGTGTGTGGGTTTCAAAGAAATTCGCGGTGGCATGTATTTCGTTTTAGAAACCAGTCCGTCCTGTTTAAAGTCGGATGTTTTTTGTAGGCACTGTCCTTGATTCGTTGTAAAATTCTCCCTTTATTTTTGAAATCAATGTCTGGCCGGCGGCAAAGATAATTGTTTCATCAAGGACTTTTACATACTGCACAGAACCCAGCGTACCCGGCTAACTCTGTTTCCAGCCTTTTAATTGGTAGATGCAGCGAACACCCTCGAGCTCTTGCAAAGTTGACCTCTAGTTGATTTTCTAGACCGGCGGTAAAAGTAGCCCTGTCAATTAACAGTCTAAATAACAAGTTCGAACATTTTACCTGCAAAAATAACATGCTACAAGTTTTTTAAAAAAGCTAGGTGGTTGTGAACATTTTATCCCGCGAAATCAGGTACTGTGATGTCATCCTTTAAGAAAATTTCCGTCCACCTGAGTACAAGAAAGCAGCCTTTACGAAACGCGTGTCTGAAAAGTTGCACTTTTTAATTTTCGTGCTCGTTTTCATCGGATACGTGTAGGAGGAAGCACAGCTTTTCTCCCGATAAACGGGACCTTAGACTGGGCCACTGAGAAGAAAATGCCTACCGTTATATCATAGTTGTATCGTGTAATTCATTATAAGGAGGATTACCCACTCCTCCCACGGGTCAACATTGGTTCGTGAACGTTGCAAAGAACTAGCAGTTAATAACATGGGATCTTTTCAGGCAAACTTGAAGATTCGCTACGAATTCAATAAAAGTCCAATCAATCTCAGCCGCAGGCTCTTGGGTCCATAAACGATCATCCACTTCGAAGATTTTGCTCGCAGATTTACTGTTAAAAATCGAGTATTTCTGTGGACAAGATCTTGGAAGAAGTGACAAACCACATTTCTTTGAACAGTATATCATAAAATCCACTTCCCGTGTACTTCAACCTTATCGTTCGGACTTCTATTCAGGAAGAGCCGATTCTATGTTGGTCTGTGTCTTATCACCCTCTGAATGCTCTGATCTTTAAAGCGAATGCGTAAAATCCATCCCCTCCCTGGGTTGCATGCGCATTCTACGGACGGGATCAAAAGCGCGAGCTCTGAGGTCGAGAATCCTTGCACGCTTAGAGGAAATCAGATGAGCACATAATAGGCAATTTCAGAGATCCCCCAAGCCTGTGTATCAAAACGAGGTAAAGTGCTCAGCCTTTGACCCGGAAATGATTTTTCATTCTCATGCAAACAAGACTCATTGGCAGCTACCACCTGACGGGTAACAACCGGAGACCTTCGTTAAAACAATTCTTAAACAACCATCCAACCATCCTGTGCTCATCTTACTTCCCCTTAGCATTAATAGAGACCTTTAGATTCCAGGACGAGGACGACTTCGAGTACGAGATTTGACTTCACGTTTTTTCGCGTATTCTGAAATTATAGACTCCCCGGAAAGCTTCATTTTCCCATTTTTCACTAGAAATGTTAGCACTGTTACCTTTAGTAAAGGAGGTTACACCCTCTCGCGATCGCAAAATGATAAAACTTTTAACATTTGATAACTTGTTTGTGCCACTTCGACATTAGAGGATGTTAGCATCGACAACGAGTACGAGTTCTAGAACGAGATCAGCGATTTTGCGTACTGCGCATCCGTTCTGCGCATCTCCACGTTTTCAAGTCGTCCTGTCAAGTTGCACTACGACGAGTTCTCACCGAAAACTCGAAGTGGGTAGAACGACTGGGAAGAGCTGGTTTTCAAAGGTAAATTCCGATCGTTTAATGCAGTTTCTTTTCGTTTCTAGCCTCTCTTTATCATCTTGAACATTCCTTATATTATGTTTTATGTAAAATACTGCTGTTGAAGTCGAGGAAAAACAACCGAACGCGATATTTCCTACACAGAGTAAATTTGCATTTACCCCGGAAAGTTTCATGTCTCTCCACAGGCCTCACAGGCTCACGAAATAACCCCGAAAATTGCCATTATTTGGTCGAAAATATCCCAACAGTCGAAGATGTCAATAAAGAATACTTTCTTCTTTTTCCAGTGTGGTTGTTGTGTTGAATTTGCGTGTTTTAAGACCGCAAAGCACAAGATTCTTCTTCGTACAAAAAACCTTCCATGTAAATGAGTAACAAGCAGTCTTGAACGTTTTTTAGAGTCATTTTTTGTTTTCGAAATTGTTGTGGAAGCGCTACCTCGACTCAAATTTGGCGCCCAGTCATGCGGAATCCCATAATTTTGTTTTCTATAAACTCGAACTCGGTGTCATCGCTAACATAGAAAGCTGAGAAAACGACTTCGAGTACGAGTACGGCTTGAGGTCGTTCTCGTACTCGTACTCGTTGTTGATTCTCGCTAAAACTCGTAGTAGAATGACGACGGCTACCACATTTTCCCGCCAAAATGACGCTGGTTCACGCGCCAGCACTACGTAGTATTGAGAAAATCTCGTACTCGTAGTCGTTCTCGTCTTAGGATCTAAAGGTCTCTATTATATCAGCATACATAAGCCTTTTCAGAATATTTAAAAGAAATTTTCTCAAGTCTTTATCTTTTTGCATGTCTACTGAAAACTAATCTACCTTTTCATAGGCCCACCTACCTGTAAACGAAAAAACATACTTTCGAGTTTAACCCCCTTTAGCTTGTATTAAAATGGATTCGATTTTTTATGACGTTTTAACGCTTAAAAACGCTCAAATTCAAAAAGGATTTTGATCAGCACTGCTCAGGGTCATCCAACGAGAATATAGTTCAAAACCACTTAAACATAGCATTGTTGAACGTATTTTAGTATTTAAACAGTAAATATAGGCATATTGTTATTCCCTAAAAATTTTTCATCTGTTCGGATTTCCTAGCTGAAAGTCTAGTGATCCGAAAATTATAGGGATCAAAACTTACCTTTTCGAAAATTTCAGCCAGAAAAAAGGCTCCCGAAGGTGGGGTGACCTTTTAGGGTAAAAATCCGTTAAAAATGGGCAATTATACCATTTTCTAGATGTTCTAAAATTCTAGGAGATGCAGGCAATCAAGAAATTTTACAACAAATGTTTCCGAAAATTCTAGATGTCAGATCGTCTTCCGAACAGATATTTTCAAGAAATTGACGTTGGGTGCCCCTGACTGCTATGTACCTTTTTTTTGAAACGCTTTTTTAGTCCGGTTTTAAGCCCTCCCTTATATATTTTTGGCGAGTTTTCTCCTTATTTGCTATTTGTTAAGTGATAAAGATTCTTTAATGCCTAATATCTGCTCATCCTGCGCGCGCACTTAAAAAAACGAACATGTAGTACACTGTAATTCACGGCAACCGAATTTGTTTTGTAAACGGACACACTATGTGCGACACAATTTTTAAATTCAGGTTGAAGAAAGTAATTGGAACTAGAAAAAAAGAATCAACATTTTATCTTTTTTTCGACAAAATACTCTTCCCTACTATTCTTGTCCTCATGTTCGATGTTCATTAAAGAAGGAAAAACTAAATGGCCAAAATCTGTTTGGAACTTGAAAACGTTCAACTGGTAAAACCATGGTAAAACCACGAAAGATAACTTATTTGCTATCGGCAATCCGAAAACAGTCAAGCAGGACGGCTTACCTACCGATAGGAGAAACCTGTATTACAATGGGGGAACTAAAGCATCTTGTCGTGTTTGCAGCGATTTCTTAGCTGGCGTGAAAAGATCAAGGCTTGAAGACTTAACCGTTCCTCGCTCACGAAGTGAACGTCTGACGCCACAATAGGTCTTTTTACGTATGGCGCGCGCCATACATGAGGTTTCTCTCTTTAAAACGCGCGTTACGAAGGAGAGAGGATTGCTCAGCAATAGGATGATCTTAAGAAATGAACATGACTAAAAACCCAGCTGCATGTGAAAGCTACGCGCAAAGCACGAACACCTTGCGAGGCAAGCGCGCTTTCTAACTGAGAGGTATAACTCGAGATAAAATTTAAAAGGGGCTCCTTCAAGCGAAACTTTTTCAATTTCAAACAAGTACAGTTTCACGAAGTAGATGATCAGAAAAAAATAACAGTCGAATTAAACTCAAAATTATAGTTTCCGCCTACACTAGACGAACATATTTGAATAAAAGCTTAATGCCTATACTGGAAGTAGACAACGCAAACGGTTTTTATATTTTTGCTCTACGAGTATCTGCTAATTATAACTTGAGATCAGACCGAATTTTAAGGGCTCTCATCGGTTTTTATACATTCCTTCTTACATGATAGCTTCACGTTTCTCTTGGTCGGCCGGAACTTTATTTTCCAAGCAAAACAAAAAAAAGCGCCTGATCTCCGGTTTCCTTTCCGACTTCTCTACAGAAGCTAAAGAAACTAACACTCACTCAGACACATTTTCAACAACCACAGGTATACTTTATTAATAGACATAATTGAAAAAAAAAAACGAACCAGTGCACCACAGCCGGACACGTAAACCCCGAAAAACCAATTATGGAAAAATAGGGGACCTTGTAACCCCGACCAATGCTATGGTGCTGCCTTTGGGGTTT